TGACTTTTTGCACAAATATGGACTTAGCAATTTAGAGTAAAGATTTGGAGATTCGAAGTTCGTGATTGATGATCTATTGAAGATAATTTGAAGATTAAAGACCAGTGAAGAATTATTTCAAGAAGCAAGAATTGAGGATTAAGCTTAAATCGCGAAGGAGTGAAGATAAAGCTATGGAGAAGACTTTGAAGACCTTGAAGCCTTGGAATTTTGGCTATTTTATATGGGATAATACTCAGCCCATATAAGCCCACAATTGGAGTTAAAATCCCAATTTGTGTTGCACAAGCCCAAGGAAATATCCAATTCCCGCATATTCCCGCATACTAGTCCTAGTTGGATTAGGATTCAGCGCAGTCTCGGTAAAAAAGGCATAACTTTTTGTTCAAACCTCCAAATAAGGCCTGTGAGTAGGCGTTGAAAAGCTAACTCCGAGATCTACAACTTTGCTTTGAAACACAAAGCCAATTTTTGCAATCTTCAAGCCTGAAATTGCTGTCGAATTTACTGTGCGATTCAAGAATTTTCTTGAGTCCTATCATAGTTATAGTAGGAGTCTATAGGGGTTATTTTCCACTATAAATAGCCACCTTAGGTCTAGGTTTTTATTATGTAGAATTATTGTGTATAATATTTTGAAGAACTACAGTTTTCTTGAAGGGGAGCCGTCGCCCTCTCTCTCTCTCTCTCCTCCTCCATAGCTAAGTTTTCTTTATCTTTTCTCTTCTTCTTTTGATGCTCGCTCAATTCATGAGTGAGTAGTTGGTAGGATTTGAACCTACGACATCGGGTTTTGGAGACCCACGTTCTACCGAACTGAACTCTCCTCGCCTTACTATTAAAGCTCAGCCGACTCCCTTCAAAGCTTCGGCCTACCACCCCTTCTGCCGTCCCCTATCGTACAGTTCATCTCTTTCAGATCTTTCGGATTCTACTTATCAGATGGCTTGTTAGTTTTATGCGCGTCCTCATAAACTGGAGTTTCAGTGTTTTCATCCGATCGATTCTCAGGCTTAGAGAATTAAATCATTAGCCTTCATCTTTTGTTGAGAATCAATATAATATCATATATGATATTGTTATAGGAATTTCCATCGTTGGTTAAGCCATAAAGATAAAGCCAAGTCCACTTTATTTCTTTTTATGGGGTTGGTCCCGGTGGACTGATGGTGAGTTAACCGGAGATGTTTAGTAGGGCTGGTCTATCGATCAGCTCAATCTCGGCATTTCCGGAAGCAATAGTTAAAGACTTTCCAAGGCTACATTCGGAGCTGACGGGAATCCTATCTAAAGGTCTCATCCAAGGGAATCAGCTGTGCGGGATATTTATTAAGCTCAGAAGCGCCCTCTCTTGAACTTTCTTTGAAACCTTTATTCCAACATAGTAACAAAACATGATAAATCCACCATAATTCAGCCATCATTATGGAAGAGAAACCGACATAGCGAGTGAAGCCACCTAACCTAACCATTTCCCATGCCTATCCCTCAGGTGAGATTCTTTATCTGGCTCCTCTTTTTTAATTGTTTGAATACAAATTCAGTCCTTTGCCGGAAAGGAATTCAATTGAATCCAGTGTGCCAGCTATGTGAGGACGGTATCCTGCTCGCGGTTAACTCTTTCGCTAGAGAAGAAGATGACGTGGGAAAGCTCCCCGTTCCTGGTTATCCTGCTGCTTCTTTTGCTTCAACCTCAAAAGAGTCCGACTCAACCCCTTACCCAACCTGAGACTTTTTCTCTCGCAATGGGAGATTTTGCACTTATCAATGAAATCTTAATTGGGTATTTCTTAAATCTTTGCTTTAATTCATGTTTGCTTGTTTTGATGGATTGGATTGATACTTTCTTGATAAATTTGGTTTTACATATGCTAAATCAATTCTAGATAGAAGTCTACTAGGTTGATTATTGATAGCAATTGAAATTGAGTTAGTTTATTCTAATTCTTTTCAAGGGATTTATGAATCAAAAGTAAATTGTATGTGATATTCTTATTGCTTTTGTGCTTGCATAAAATTACTTGTTCTTAATGCTTTAATCTTTCTAAATCTTAAGATGGTCGGTGCCTGGCCCACTGGCTGGAATGATAGAGTATTACTTAGGGGAAGTGTCAAAGGAAACAGATTGGTGTACTCCCATTATTGAGCAGCTGAAAGAGCGTCAGTCTAGCAATCTCCGTTTCCTCAAAAGTGACACCATGATACAAGAGGCGCTATACTATAGAGGGCCTAATGGGATATTAGCTAGGTGTATCTCACCTGAGGAAGCAAAAGAAAGACTACACGCATCACATAAGTAGTGGTGTGGCATGGAAGGGCCTCCATTATATCGTAGAATGCAGAGAGCTGGCTACTATTGGCTGACTATGAGTAGTAATTGCGCAGATGCATAATATGCCTGCCTTCGGTGTTCAGAGCCCCCAGATGTTAATGATTGTCACTTTGTGGGTAGTGTTGGAGATTGGTGTAGACTGTACATAGAGTACTTACGAAATGGAGCTTTACCTACTAATCATCAGGATGCATGGAACTTGAAGAGAAAGGTGAAGAGGTTCTTCATGAAGGGGAATGAGTTGTTCAGGACGTCATTTGCTGGGACTCCCCTGAAGTGTGTCTCACCAGCTGACAGCACACCCTTACTGGAAGAAACGCATGGGGGTGTTAGTTATACAAGAAGCTCCTCGACCTTGGCCATCCACAATGGAGATGGATGCCACAAGCCCTGTGAGGAGATGTCACCTATGTCAAGTTCATGGGAACGCCATACATGCTCCAGTAGTGAAACTGCATAGTGTGACCACTCCGTGGCCTTTCCATACTTGGGCATTTGATTTGATTGGCCCTATCAATCCACTAGCTAAAGGACACATATGGGTTCTCGTTGCAACGAACTGTTTTACCAAGTGGGTAGAAGGAGTGTCTTTGAAGAAAGCAACAAGACCAGCAGTGGCCAACTTCATTAAGGAGAATGTGGTGTGTAGGTTTGGGATACCCAGATGCATCATTTCTGATAATGGCACCCCCTTTGTGAATAAAGATGTGAGAAAGTTGTTGGCCTTGTACGATGTTGATCATGTGAAATCCACTCGCTACTATCCATAGGGCAATGGGCAAGCAAAGGCTACCAACAAGATGTTGTTAAGGGTGTTAAGTAAGTTGGTTCATGATGATCTTAAGTCATGGCCTAATCCATTACTAGTAGGATTATGAGCATATCGAACTTCCAAGAGGAGTCCTACCAACGCTACTTCATTTTCATTAGTTTATGGAACTGAAGCTGTTGTGCCATCTGAGTTGCTTGTACCTTATGTCAGGCTTGTTATTGATGCCGGGCTTACCCATGATGAGATGAGATGAGTGGAGTTGGAAGCACTAGATGAAAGGAGAGATAAGGCTAAGAAGAACTTCTTGGTATACCAGCGACGCATAAGCAGGGCATATGACAAGATACTGCGTAAGAGAAACTTTGACCCGGGTGACCAAGTACTCAACGCTGCCGAGCACGTAATGAGAGGTGCTCCTCCACCGCATAAATTCAGTGAGAAGTGGGAAGGCCCTTATATAGTTCAAGAAGTGCACAACAGTGGTTACTGCACATTGTTCAACCCAGAAACAACAATGCTCTTACTACTCCCATCAACTTTCATTACGTCAAGAAATAACATGTATGAGCTTCCATCAACCCTTACTACATCAACTATCCTTTTATTCTATTTCGAAATGTCATATTAGTTCTCCTTACATTGTCTATACCATGCTCAGTGTTATCCTATTTATGCTTAAACCTATTTTCCCCCCATCTCATGATCCATTGTGATATATTCTGATGCAATATTTCAATTTCAATTTCAATGAAGTACTATCCAGATGTTCCATCCATTCACGTGTCTTTTTTACAATTGAGAGGGAATGGTCGTGAAAGTATGATTTTATACTTTATTTATGTTGATATTGCACAAATGATGCATCATTGGCCTTTGTAGCCCTTTAAATTTCAAAGAAGAGTCAGCTTCTTGGAGTGGAGAGTGATGCACACGTATGAGTGCCTCTTTCGCCAGAATGCACCTTCTGTGTGCAAGTGAGGCGTGTGTATTGACGCCCAACTCTCAATATCATGCAGAGTGCGTAGCCACGCCCTTAAAGAAAAAATCTTTTCGAGAGACTCCCAGTTGCACGCTCTGATGAACATGCCAAGGGAGACTCCCCAGATGCGGACCTGCTACGCGCACCCTAAGTGAGGTGATGTCACCCATTAAGCGTGGTTGACACACTGGGGGTAGCAAATAAAAAAAAAACCTTTATGTGAGAGCAAACTTGAAAAAAAAAATCAATTCAAGGAGTGCCTCCAATACAAATAATAAAGTTTAACAAAATTCTATTCACCATAGTACTGAAAAAATAGAATGTTCATTGGCGAAAAATAAATGTTTGTGACATAAGCAAATATAGAATGTTCTATTCAGCTTAAGCACTGAAAATGTAGAATGTTCATTAAAAAAAAGGGAGCAACAAATATCCATAATGATGACTATGGGATGAAGTTGTATCCCTAGTGGAAAGCATTCAGGGAATCACGGATGGATGCGAAATGTTGCTGCTTAGCCGAAACATTGTTTCTCTGTCTCTCCAGCTTACTCAATGACGCTTTCAACTCTATCTCCATTGCATCAATTTCTGCCAACTCTTTATCTGCTTTTGCTAACTCAGCCTCTAGATCAAACATCAAACCCACAATGACATTTTGGAGCCGAGCCCGAGTACTCCCCATGAAATCAAGGTCGAATTTGATTCTGACACAATCATCGTAGGTCTTGCACATTGCTTCTAATTCACTCAAAGAAAGGTTATTAGGTGTTTTGGCTTTCAATATCAACTCACCGAGCTGATCCAAAAGGCCTGCAATTACAGTTTCAGATTCCAGGAAAGTCAACTCCCAAAATTTTCCTCCCTTGATTTCTGCTTCCTTCAAAGGAGCCATATACATGGGCTTCACAGGAAGACCATGAAATCCAGATTCTTCGGCAGAACCCTCCTCGATAACTGAAGCAACAAGGGATGTACGCGTAGTAGCAGGAGTCGCAACACGATTGTCAAATTCTGCTACTAGGGACAAAAGAGTAGTGAGCACATCACTCCGCCTAGAAGTAGGAGCACGGACTTCAGGTTCGGTGTTAAGCTCATCATCACCCTAAAAAAAGGAGGGAAAATCAGGAGAGCAGTAATTTACCAGCAGGGAGTGAAAGATGTATTTAAAAAAAAAAAAAAGAAGGCGCCAACCTGACAACAAGACTGATTGTTGTCAGAGGAGTCACTCTCAGCGTCACTCTCTTCCTCACCACTACCAGCCTCACTCTCTTCTTCACCACTAACTCTACCGCGGAGGCTACCATGGTCTTCATCACTACAATTTTACTCATCATCACCATCACTGCTGCTATCCTCATCATCACTACTACTTTCGGGTTCTCTACTTTCCTCATTAGTAGGGGCATTATCATTCTCTACATCTATAATGTCACGACTAACATCCACAATCTCATGTGGAGACGAAACCACACCTGTGGATGGGAGTATGTCTTCAGTCTCTATGTGGAGTACATCATCATCATGAGAGGGGGCACTATTTCGAGACAAAGCAGCACTGTGAGCAGAAGTATTACCACGAGTATTGACATCATCACGTGCGGGTGCCTAAAATATACACATATATATAATATGTGCGTTAATAAAAAAATGTATAATAATATAAATATATGCGCATATATATATATATATATACATATATATATACACATATAAGGCACTAACCCATTGCTTCTTTTGTTG